ACCAAATCATCGATACTTTAAACTACCAATCGCTCCAGCAGGAACAAGACAATAATCAAGACCCTCTTTTTATTCATTTTAAAACACCAACATGATCAACGCAGCAAGACGACCCTTGGCTAATTTTCTCTCTAAGCAGACTTTGACGGCAGCCTCGCCCCGGATCGCCGCCCAGGCCACGGCCACGGCGTCGTTTGGATGGTTTGGCCTGGGACTTCGGTTCAACGGCACCACCGCCGCGCAGCCGGTTGACGAACAAATCAAGGACCTTATTGCCTCCAACAAGGTCTTTATTTTCAGCAAGACGTGAGTATAGTCGGGTTTCCTAGGATTGGTGAGATCAAGCAGCAGCGGGATTTATCAGTGGTTTGAAACTAGTGTCTCTCCCATTGGATAGGCCTTTGAGATGCTAGGAACTTGCTGATCTGTGTCGCTTTTCTGCATCCTTGCCAGTTCAAAGTATTTGATATAAGAATGTTTAGACTAACTGATTTTTTTTTCTCTAAAGTTATTGCAGGTAGGTTCTTACGCAAACAGGACTTTCACCCGTGCTGATGCCGGGGACTGATTTTACGGACTACATCACAACGTGATTAAAGAACGATAACTAACTATGGATGATTTTCTTCCCTGGTCAGCTTTTGCGGTCGTACCAAGAGTCTCCTTGACTCGCTTGAGATCCCTTACTCAACGATCGAACTTGATGAACAAAGTGCGTATTTTAGTTCTACAACTCCAGATTAAAATTTTTTTTTATGCGGAAGGGTGTGGGGTATACGATAAATTACCGTTCATGTACTAACTACTATTCTCTCTCTCTCTTTGGGGGGCCCCAATATAGAGAACGAATCTGAAATTCAAAAGGAACTTTTTAAGCTGACCCACCAGTCGACGGTGCCCAACATCTTCATCAGTGGGCGCCACGTGGGTGGCAACTCGGACTTGCAGGCGCTACACCAAAAGGGCGAGCTCCTTGACCTTGTTTCCGGTGGTGACGCTGCTGCTCCCGAAGTCAAGGCCAAGCTCTAAGTTCCTCAACAAGAAGAAAAAAAAAATCTTGCAAAGCAATCCTTTTTTTATTCTCTCCCTTGTACAGTAGTATAGAAGAAACCTGAGTTTTTTTATTATTTATTTATCCTCCTGGTTGGACTTGACGGAACAAACAACTAATGGACTTGGTGACAATGTATGGGGGAGTTACTTTCAATATGTGACAGAAAGACAAGGTTTTTCATTGCCGACCTTCAGCTAGTAATAACAGGGAGAAAAAGCTCAACGGGGAGTAACAAGTAGAAACCAGTTAATATATCTCATCTTTGAAAAAAAAAATCAAATTAGATAAAAAGAAGACCTTCCAATATTGAACGATTTTGCAAAATTAACCGTATTGATGAGCCAACCGGGGGGATCATCTCGAACATTAAGAGAGATGGAAATATTGTGATACCATAATGGTTTCTTTCTTGGGGAGAGAAAAAAAATTTCTACACACCTATCATATCAAAAATGTGGAGTATTCGTATCAGCTTTACGTTTTTTTTTTTTTTTTTTTTTTTTTTTTTTTTTTTTTTTAAATCATGACAACAGTCGTAGCAAGTGCGATTAACAGTTTTTTTTTTATTTATTTATTTGTTCTTTTATTAGTACATATTCATCATCCTTGGCCAAGCACAACTTATATACTTCAAAGAAAATGTTCATCATCAGCGGTATCAGATCTCTCCTCCTCCTCCTCCTCCTGCAGCCTTTTCTATTTCCATACGTTACTAAAAAGGTCGTCGTCAGTGGACTTGGTCCCAGCGGGCGCAGAGGTATTGGGGCCCGTGGACATGAAATCGTCCCAGTCCTCGTCGTCATCAGCATTGTTGTTGGCAGTGCTGTTGCCATAATTGGCGGGCGCAGGGGCTGCTGAAGCGCTGCCCCAGCCCTCATTATTGGTGGCCCACGAGGTGGTGGTGGCAGCGGCTGGCTTGGTATCCCAAGCAGAGAGATTCCAGCCAGGAGCACTGTTGTTGTTATTAGTTGAAGCACTCGTAGTACTGGCCGTGGTGGTCCACGAGTCATGTGTCACCGATGGAATGCTGGCCATGGCAGTGGAGGCAATGGAAGCACTGGATCCCATAGACCAGCCCGTGTTGGCATTGGAGGTTGTACTAAACAGCCCGTCAAACGCATTGGTTGTGCTCTTGATCGCAGACGCGGTTGCTGTAGTATTAGTAGTAGTAGCGGGTGCGGCCCCGAGGTTCAAATTGCCCGTCAGAAACGAAAGCGAGTCCAGTCCGTTGCTCTTCTGAGCACCATTTACAGCAGAATCTTGATTGCGCGTAGAAGACTGAAAGCCCGAGAATGAGTCGTCGGAGGGCTTGGCCATCGTCGGAGATGGGCTGGAAAACCCGCCAAAGTTGTTGGATTGGAATGAGCTAAAGGCATTAGTGGTGTTGGTCTGAGGCGGGTTGGCCGGCTGTGGCTGGATGGGAGTAGATGAGTAGAGAGAAAGGATAGACTTGGTGAGATCGGGTCTGCTAGTAACAGGGGTCGCTGGCGAGGAATTACCGGTAGCGGCAGAAGAAGACGCTGCCGACGTGCTGCGTGAGTGCGAGGGTGCAGGGGACGGGGTGCCAAAGTCAAGGCCAAGCAAATCAGCTGTCTGGGGCTTAGGAGCCGGCGGTCTGGTCCCAGCAGAAGGTCTTGCGGCTGCGTTCAACTGCGATTTTTCGATGCTGACGCGGCCACCCGGTCCACTGACAACATTCTGGCGCTGCGTAGACGTGGTGGGCGCAGCTGAGAGATCAACCCCGCCCAGAAGATCCACAACAGGAGGCTTTGGCCTACTTCCGCTACCACTGCTAACAGCGTTGCCTCTAGCAGTAGATGATAGCACAGAGCCGCGCTTCTTGGGCGTCGTTGCAAGCCGGCGCTGCACCTCAGACAGAGGGACAGTGTCCTCCTCCGATCCGGGTCGCTTGTTGGGCAGGCTATCAAGCACACTGGGGTCCTCCGGCAGCTGGTCGGATAATACCCAACGTTTCATCTCATACTTTGTGCGAATGAAGTTGTCAATCTTGCTGTCGTCCGGCGCGTAGTTTGGCGGCAGCTTGGCTTCCCAGTACCTGGTAAGATAGTGCGTTAGTAACCTCCCCCTGATCGGCCACAGGTCCCTTAATTTTCTTTACACCTCTGTACTTACTGGTTGGCCCGCTTGTTACCCCATTTAACAAGCATCTTGATCTGCTCATCAGACCAAGTATCAAGATCAATAGATCGCACTATTGCCAGCGTGGTTAGAAATAATACTACTGAGGTAAACAATGTATCAGCAGCTCACCTTTACTAATATGGACGCCCATACTTCTGTGAATACCAGAACATCTGTAACAGCTACATTAGCATAATCTTCCTATTGTGCACACCGTTGAGCCTCCTTACCTGATGCAAAGAAACACGCCCAAACTCCAACTTGTCCAGCGCGGATGGCCGGAAGTCTTGCAGTCTGCACAAAACTTGTTGTCGGGCTCCTTAACCAGCGCTTTGAGCAGCTGTTGATTCCTCTCAAAGACAGAATTGGCGCGATTGCGACTGCCCCTGCTGACGCTCATGGTCTGTCTTGACCGATTGTAAGACATGGTGCCGTCGCTCTTTTAGATTGTCTATTTAAAAAAAAAAATTTATGGCTTTGTGCCTGAAGAATTGATCGATAAGACAGAGCTGCTCCTGAAGAGGAAAAAAAAAGGGAAAAATTTCAGTAAAGAGCGGCCAGTTGGCCTCTGCGTCTGTGGATGTTTTGGAAATTGGCGCTAACTATATGCACGCAAGCAAGAACTATGGCCTTGGTTCAGGCTCAGTTGGAAAGCTGACTAATCCATCTTGCAAGCCTACCTCAAATTTTCAGTTAATCAGTCGGACTCCGACCCGGCTCAGCCTTTCACTCTTCTTTTACGAACGAGCTAGAACGCACATACACACATCAACAATGAGCTCGTCGGATCAGAATGAGGTTCTCACGAACCCGTCGCTAGCAAAGCAGAAGGAAGAGGAGTACGTCCATCAGGTCTACGAGGAGATTGCTTCGCATTTCTCCCTCACCCGTTACAAGGTAAGCATGAGTATTATTTCTTGTTTAGATCCGATCTGAACTAACAAGTAAACTCCAGCCATGGCCCGTGGTGGAAAAGTTCTTGTTGGAACAAAAGCCTGGCAGCATTGGTCTTGATATTGGCTGCGGAAACGGCAAATACATGTCCGTCAACAAGGATGTCTACATTATTGGTTCCGACCACTCGTCTCAGCTGACGCAAATTGCGTTCAACAACCATGCTCAGGATCCGGAAACACATGCTAACAACAGACACGCTGATGCTTTGGTTGCAGATGGACTCAATCTGCCGTTTCTGCCCAACTACTTTGATTTTGCCATCTCCATTGCCGTAATCCATCATTTCTCTACGCCCGAGCGCCGAATCGAGTCCGTGCGCCGTATCTTAAATACGATTCGCCCTGGCGGCCGTGCCCTTATCTACGTCTGGGCTCTCGAGCAGGAGAACTCGCGCCGTGGCTACCATGAAGGTATGGACCAGGACGTACTTGTCCCGTGGGTACTCCAAAATAAGCAGAAAAAGAAAAAGAAGCAGCCGCCTGTGCGCCGGAAAAAGAATGATTCAAAGGGTGAAAATGAAGAGCCACTACCCGAGGCCCGCCAAGAGCCTGAAAACAAGGAGCAGGAAGAGGAGAAAAAGGAGGAAGTTGTCAAGCAGCGTTACTACCATTTGTACAAGAAGGGTGAGCTTGAGGCCGATGTCGAAGTTGCCGGAGGTAAAGTGGTTGAGTCCGGATACTCCAAGGATAACTGGTATTCGATCATTACAAAGTAATGTTCTTATTTATTTGCGTATATATATATAGATTTTATTGAAATTTGGCATGTTGTTTATTTCATAACTGTAACAGCAAAGATGTGCTTTTTACAGGATTAAAAAATAAAAAATAAAACAAAAAAAAGAAATCTTCCTTGCCAGGGGTCGAACCTGGAATCTTTCGCTGTGTAACCAAATGAAGTCGTAGGCGAACGCCTTGCCATTGGGCCACAAGGAACTTTCCTTATTTTAATATAAATGGTGTCTTACCAAAAGTAATCTTTCAAACTTGGTAATAAACTAGATATATGGTTCAAGTATCAAGTCTTAAACTATATTTGGGCACCCAAGTAAACTTTAGCTAATAAAGTAGACACCAACGTTAAAGAGTTGTTTATAAAGCCCAAGAAAATACAAGTCAGTGTTCTATACAAGAAATACCAGCTGCGAATACCTTTTCAATTCATGTCTTCTTTTTGTGTCAATTTGTTTTATATTTTTGTTTGTACCTACGTAAGAACAATGGACTGATCATGTTCCCTAGGTGACTATTGAGCTCCCTATTCTTGATTATACGTCTAAGTTTTTCCTTTCATAACTCCCAACCATATAATAACTGTTTCTTCCATCTTTCATTTCTAACCTTTCAAGTCTTCTACCCATAGCATTTACAACCATCTAAGATGAACACCACCAACGAGGAGCGACAAAACCGATATTCAAAAGAACGCAAGGTCGGTGAGGGTACATATGCCGTTGTCTATGTTGGTATGTAACCTTTCTATTGCCACACGATCTCCAGAATCATAGAAACTGACACATGAGGTTTAGGCAAACAGCTCGACACCCAGAAGGCCATTGCTATCAAGATGATCAAGGTCGGTGAATTCAAGGACGGCCTCGACATGTCTGCCATCCGCGAAATCAAGTTCTTGCAGGAACTTCGGCACCCAAATGTCATTGAGTTGATTGATGTATTTTCTACACAGACCAACCTCAATATTGTGCTCGAGTTCCTGCCTGCAGACCTGGAAATGATCATCAAAGATAGAAGCGTCATTTTCACGCCGGCAGATATCAAGTCTTGGATGCTCATGACCCTCAGAGGCTTACATCACTGCCACCGAAATTTCATGCTGCACCGAGTAAGTACTCATTTTTCACGATTGAGGTATTAGAGAGAAAGGCAATACTAACACTCCGCTCCACAGGATTTGAAACCGAATAACCTGCTGTTGTCACCGTCGGGACATCTGAAGCTGGCAGATTTCGGTCTTGCGCGGAGCATGGCAGGCATCCGCGAGAGCATGACATCAAACGTTGTGACACGATGGTATCGCGCGCCCGAGTTGCTTTACGGGGCACGGCATTATACGGCAGCAGTTGACGTGTGGTCTGTTGGCATTATTTTTGCGGAACTTATGCTGCGTACACCTTATCTTCCCGGTAAGAGCGATGCGGACCAGCTAGATATCACATTTCGTGCTCTGGGCACACCGAATGAAAAGATTTGGCCAGGCGTCACCTCGCTGCCAGGCTACGTCAGTACAAAGATCTATCCACAGCCATCGCGCCAGGAACTACGCAACAGATTCATTGCCGCTACTGAAGATGCTCTGGAGCTGATGGAGGAGCTTACTGTACTGAACCCAGGTGAACGCATAGATACTACGCAAGCACTCTTGTCACCCTATTTCACCACGGCGCCGCGCCCAACAAAGCCTGAGCTGCTGCCAAAGAAGAAAGAAGAGGACCCTAACGCGGTTGAAGAGAAGTACAAGGCTGAGATTCGAGACAGTATGATCCAAGCTACCCGTAAGGCCCGTCTGAACGCTTAGGGGTATTGGTAACCGTTTATATTAATTTATTCATTACATGTACCATACATAAATTTGTTTTTTTATGCTTATCATCTAGTTATTGGATTTGCCGTTGTAAATGTTGCTAACGTACTCACCGATAGCCAGGGAAGAAGTCAGGCCGGGACTTTCGATGTTGAGAAGGTTAACAAAACCAGGGAAGCCTTCCTCCTCTCTGATGACAAAGTCCTGGAACTTGGTGCCATCCGATACGATCTTGGGTCTAATACCAGCAAAATCAGGCACAAGAGCAGAATGATCAAGGCCAATCATGTACTGGTCAACGGCCTCAATGGCCTTTGGCAGATTCTTTGAGTTGACCTCAAGGTCATCAGCACTATCAACCCATTCGATATCGGGGCCAAACTTGATTTGGCCGCCAAGATCAATAGTTAAGTGAGTACCGAGCGAGGCATAGTCCGAGGGACACGGGTAAATCAAACGACTGACCTTAGGGGTCGATGATTGGTAGGCAAAGTAGTTACCCTTTGCAAAATAGGCCTTTAGATGTCTCTCCTTAGGCAAGAGCATGTTGGAGATGTTGGTGGAAAAATGGCCAGCAGAGTTGATAACGTTTTCAGCCTCAATGGTAAAGATTTCGCCGTCAGTAGGCTTGACGTGAATAGTATAGGTCTTAAACTCTTTGTTGTATTCTAGACCAACAACAGCAGAGTTTAGAGCAATATCGCCATCATACTTCTGAATCTGGGATTCAGAGTAGCTAACCACGGAATGGGGATCTACGATACCAGTAGATGGTGAGTTGAGCACAGCAGCGTTGGCTCTCACGGCGGGTTCCAACTCTCTAGCCTTGTCTAGGGGCACAAATTCAAGGGGGATATCCAGTCTCTTGCCCTTGGCAAGAATACCCGCGAGGTATTCCTCTTGCTTAGCGTCCTGGGCTACCACCCACTTGCCACATTTTTGCAGGTCAATTGGGTTTGTTTTTGCCAGCTCGTAGAGCATGTTTTTGCCCTTGATACAAAGGCGTTCTCTCAGAGAATCCTGCGCGTAATAAAGGCCGGCGTGGATGACACCAGAGTTTCTGGCACTAGTCTCGCTGCCGAGAAGGTCGTTGCGCTCGAGCAGAAGCACAGAGCTGGCAACGTTGTTTTTGCTCGCGTCGGCCGCGATTTGCGCCGCTATCGCGGTTCCCACGACACCGCCACCAATAACGACGTGTGAGTAGTCGGCTTGAGCCGCTGGGCTTGTCGAAAACCGCTTGACAAAGCTCGAGCGAGGATTGGACGCCAGTTTTACAATTGATCTTAACATGTCAACGCGTGCTAATTTCTTCGATTACGCAATATAAAGTTCACAATCAAGGATTGAAAAATGCAAAAAGAGGAAAAAAAAAAAAAAAAAAGAGTTGAAAAATGTGTTTATTATACAGATGAGTCCGATATTTTCTATTGGTGAAATAGAGGCTAAATTGTTGATCGCACAAGTCCAGATGAATACAAGGCACGAAATCAGTAAATAGCCTGTCTAAAATCTTCCGACAAGGAGATATGAAATGAATATCATTACTCAATTTCTCGTCATGTGAGAGGCTGGTGATAACCCTTTGGTTTTTGTCTGGGGGAACGAAAACTACTGAGACAAACCAGTGGACGACCGTTTCCGAAACCCGGCAATTCTCGCTTAAGTCGCAGATGAAACGACTCAAAAATCCCACCGGCCCTTCGGGTTTTCTTCTGGTGCAGCGTCTGTGCTTGCCAAAGTAGAATTTTGCAACTGCAGCGCTTCTAGACCTAGCCGCCGGCTCTTTTTGAAATGGCTTAGCGTGTTCTCGTCAGGGGTCAGCTTCTCAATGTTTTCAAAAGCTTTACGCGCAACGTCGTACTTCTTCTGCTTGATTGAGACGTCGAAAAGACCGACAATGCTGTTAAAGTCACCAATGCTGTTGCCCAGGTCAAACCACTCTACAGCAAGATCGGAGCGGTTGAAGTAGTTCATAAGAAGAAAGCCTAGGGGAGCAAACGACTGCTTGAGACCAAACCGGGCTGCCTGTTCTAAGTGGTACCGCGCTCGGTCCTTGTCTTCCTCCAGGATCTGCGAGAGGTAAAAATGACAGTCCATAACCTGGCTGGGCTGCTCAGCTTCTGCGATTGCTAACTGAAAATAGAGCTTTGCCTGTTCTAAATCATAGTTGTTAAACCGAATCACACCAATACTTCTCAGACATTCGATCTTGACACTGTTGAGCTCCTGTGAAAGATTGGCGTCCAGACAGTCTTGATATAGATCTTCAGCTTTGCTAATATGCCCATGCTTGTATGCAATATCTCCCTTGATTTTAAATGCGGGGCCAAATTGGATTTCACATAGATCATCAAGCAGCTTGACAGCATACGATTTGTCTTCTTCCGACGCATTTTCGTCGTTCAGCGTGCGTCCACAAAGTAGTGTAATCGCCATATTATCTCCCATTTCCGCAGCTTTCTCAATCAAGTTTGACTCTAGGAGTAGCGCCGTCTTGCTCAAGGCACCAGTCTTTTTTCTGTTTGCTTCGAGGATTGCTTTCAGCTGGTATACATCATGCGCTTGGACACCAGCTGGCAGAGGGGTATCTTCGTTGTTCCAGCATGCTTCATATGTTTGAATTACCTTCTTATAGGACAAGTTGATTTTCTTTTCGTAAAGATATTGTCTGATGACTTTCTTTTTTGGCAGAACTTCGTGGACCGATCTATAAAAAAAAGTTAGCTCAACTAGACAAACAATAGGGAAAAAATGATTCTCAAACATACACTCCCGTGAGTTGGCTAGAATGTCTGACTAGGGTTTTCCTTAAAGCTAGCTGGTTTATACCCCAGGTTTTTACTATTGACTTATACATTGTGCTGATGCGAAATTTCGATCTGGCAAGTGTGACAGAGAAGAAAGAAAAAAGCAGTTGATCTGACTCGATGTGAGATCATGTGATCTATTGCTACATCTAAAACGGGTAAATTAAATAACGCGTTAAACATAAAACTTCTGCAACACGAAAGTTTTTTTTAAACGTTCGCTTTTGGTAATTGTAATGATTTCTAAAAACCATTCCTTCCCCTTTTCTTGCTGAAATTTTTGTCTCTTTTCGCTGTCTTCGAACCAATTTTTTATACCCATTTACTAATTATACAGTAAATATCATGTCTTCAAAAAGAAAGCTTGAGACTCCTGTGAAATCCAAGTCTATCACGGCCTTTTTTAAGCCAGCTGAAGGTCCTGCATCCAAGAAACGCGTCATTTCAACTGCGTCCATAAGCAAAGCCGTTATTCCTAAGTTTGACAAGACTAAATGGATTGAGGGCCTCACGGCTGAACAGCGCCAATTGCTTGACTTGGAAATCAATACACTACACGATTCGTGGCTGGCGGTGCTACACCAAGA